ACCGGCATAAAGCTGTGATCACCTATCTATCGCCATATAGATACAGCAGTCTCTATAACTATTTGAGAGGTTAGTTTTTAGGTTTGACAGTAACTTTTTACCTGAACGGTTGTAACCATTAATAAAATCCAATAACTGATTAGATACCCTATATTAATAAGAGGTTATATCCAGATATAAGGTAGGTTAACATATTTTATAGCTATCAAAAAATTTTTTTTCTATCAAATAAATTAAAACTATTAAAAAGTCAAAATTTAATCGAAACTATGTATCACGTCGTAGATATTAACTTTTAGAAAAAAACTTAGCATCGCGCGTCATTGAAGTACGGAAGCTTCCAAAAAAAAAAAAAAAAAAAAAAAAAAAAAAAAAAAACAATAACAATCAAATAATACAAAATAAAAAATAAAAAAAAACAAACGAAACCCCGAACAAAAAGAAAGGAAACACCCAAAAAAAAAAAAAAAAAAAAAAAAAAAAAAAAAAAAAATTTCTTTAGAGCTTTTGCTCAAAAGTTGATTTTTTTACCATTTCTTTATGACTAGTCCAAGTAATCTAGTAACCGTAACGTTACACAAAATTCACTACTGGTTACTCTTGATTAAGAGTCTTGATATTTATTAAACTATGAAAAGTATATTAAAATTATGACAAGTACGGTAATGTGATTGAATTATGTTGATTTAGATAATGGTTCACCCATTCCATCATCAAGGATTGCACTCATAGGAAAATAAAGACAACAAGATACATATCCACCTTTACCATAATATTTATAAATGACAGTATCATACATTTTCACAATATGACCATACCCATTAATTCTATTTTTGCATTTTGAATCTAGAAAAGGGTATTGATAGGTACTATTTAACGGGAAAACGACATAAAACGTGGTTGACAAAACGGCATCCTTCCACCAAAATGTCACTGAGTTACCATTTAATTGAGAGTGACCTTTTATCTCGGCACCAGTTGGGATATGATCTAGGCATAAGGCATCAACTAAATGAAAATAATAATAATAATAATAATAATAAATAATTGGTTTTTGAAAAAAAAAAGCAATTTAAATAATAAATGCATTAAAATTTTTACCTTGAATGGTCAAAAGGACAACGATTATGATGAATATGAGTGCTTTCATGTTAGGGAATGACATTATATTTTTATGATATCGAAGGAATGTGTTGGGCGTGTTGTGAGTGTACTAAAGAGCAAAAAAGATCCATTAAGTATATATATATATATATATATATACTCTACTAAACCTTATATAATATTAAGTTATTTGGTGCAGTGGGATATGCAACTCTTTATAATTTTAACTTTTATTAACAAATAATTTGTTCGTTCAATAATGCAATCATCTTTCACAAAATTTCGACTAATATACCTTGCAGAAATTTATTCGTTAAATAATTACTTATTTCGACGAATTTCTGCACATATTCAGAAATTTCGAATAATTTCGGGAAACAAGGTGATCGGCCTAGATCTAGCCATAATATATATACAAATCTTGACAGAGAATTATTAGCCCTTTCGTTTAGACAGTCAAATTACTTACGACTGTATGCATGAGGTTTTAAGAATTTAGTCAACCAACTAATTGGTCACGTGAATATTCAATACTTATGGCATTTAGAAGACTTAAATAATTTAAAATACATCACTTTAACGTAAAGAAAATTCCACTCGTAATATATTTGATATTATACTTTTGTATGGAATTTTAATTGAATCCAAGCATTTTAAAAATTGAAGTAAGCTTCCATAGTCATATAACAATGAGAATTATTTGTGTTGGTTGAATTTTTAATGCGAAAAAAGACGTTATTTAAAACAAAAAACGCGAATCTAAGAATATAACCTACTTTGAACACATTATGTTGCATGATTCACTTAAAGTAAAAAAGACGAGGTTGCGATTTTAATTGAATTATATTTGATTAAAATTTGAAATGTATTATTACATTAAAATTATATTTGATTACATATATATGATTTACAAGGTCGCTATTGCAAATACAAAAATGTATGTTCAAGGGTAAAAGATAAGTTCGTTTAATGTAAAATTTCAATAAAATTTTATGAATATTTATAGCTATTTTCAAAAAAGGTGGTAAAGACACCATATAAATTTTTTCAAGGAAATCTGCATGATTTTTCTTTTTTTTTTTTCTTATATAAGAAATAAGGGGAATCATGCAGACTTCCCCGTGTCCTTCATTTACTTACACCTTTATTAAAAAAAAATTTTTTTCTCCGTAATCACTACAAACGGAAAAATCCAGAAAAGTCTCGGATTAAACTTAAAGTTTTTATATTACCAATAAACAGAATTATGTCATGTGTATCAGAAAGATTAATAAGAAATGAGAAGATTAATAAGAAATGAGATGTGTTTCATCTGTTTTTGAAACCTATCCTAAACATAATAATAAAAAATTTTTTAAAACAATGAATTTAATACATACAGTAAAAGAAATCATAGTGTTAACCAATTTTCGACTAAATTGATAGAATTTTCTTTATTTGATTTTCAAATAAACAAAACGTAATTTAATTTACGAAATTTTAAATTATTCCCACCGGAATTTAATGCATTCAATTACTTGTAGCTTAATTTATTCTTGCATCGGATATAATCTCCGACATACGGAAAAACCTACAAGATATTTCCGAAGATATAATTATAATGTCGCAAACTCTTTGAAAATTTTCGGTCGGAGATCATTTCCGAATTAAACACATGGATCTCTGCATACGTATTGTATTGATGAGACGCGCGTTGTTACATGAAATCGATTATAAGAAAATAAAAAAAGTTTTTTTTTTTTTTTTTTGTTCAAATTACTTTTTTAAAATTTTGTAAATACGAAACATAATGATCTTGGTAAATTGAGAGGAAATCTTTTTCCAATAATAATAACCGATGTCCTATTAATTATCGCCACACAAAAAGTGGCGCATGGTAATACAAGACCTTATTTTGTATAAATTAGACAATCTAATACTAATATAGAAAAAAAAGAACATAATAAACCAATGAAAAATACCATTATCGTGATATTACACGTAAATATATGAAACTACATAGCATCTTGATATGCATAAACTCTGAAAACAAATTGTCACGGCATGCCAATACTTCTGTATATGCATTTGAAGAGTTATACACGGAGTATCTCATTTAGTTAACAAGAAATATATCTTATGTGAATAAATGACACATATGAATCTTTTTGGGAGTGTTTTTCAGATCGCATCATTTCATCATATTATAGTCCGTATTGAATATTCTGCAGTAAACTTTATATCTTTTGTTTTCTTATCACAAATAACTACTGTAAATGATAGTTTTTTTTTTTTTTTTTTTTTTTTTTTACAAACTAATACGTATAAAATTAAATAATATATTTTTATTATTATAAAGATAATATTCACAAATATTATATGCTATGATTTTATCTGGTAATATCAATAGTAGATGTGCGGACATTTGTCAGGTCAAAGGTAGCTACTCTCCTACATCATATAAAATTTGGGTAGCTACCCCAGTTACGGCTATGACGTATGTTATTTCATGTTCTAATGTCTGCACCTCTAATCAATAGCATTTTTGTTTACATTGACAATCAATTTCATAATCCCGTTTAGTGCCACACTCGCCACACCACACTCGCCACAGAAATGTTACACCGGAGTTTACTCCGTAGCTGGACAGCTAAATCGTGATCTTTCTAACGTACTACACACGCAAGTCGACTTTAATATAAATATAGGGCGTGAATACCTTTTATTTTTGTCGTCGGGAAATCGTCGTGAATTAGGTTTTTTGTAGCTCTTATTATTAATAGAAAAATAGAATCATAAAAGAATATTTAACAGTGTAAAAATCTTTAGTAATTGATTAATAATGGCCAATAGCAAGTTGATAGCATCAGTTATTGATTATGGACAGGATCAGGAAATTTCAATAGATTCACAACCAGAAGATATATATTGCGATAATTGTGATAAAGCAAGATTAAATGGTGAATCTTTGAATCGCGTAAAATCGTCAACGGATACTCTTGTAAAAATACCATTTCCGCCAACAATTCTCGCTGAAGATTTAGTAAAACATTTATTAAAGAGCAAGTCTCAATCCCCAAAAATGTTGAACGAATTCTTCATTTATCGTAAAGTATTTGTTCAAGAACTTAAGAAGCAAAATGTTAAAGTAAAGATGACTCGCGCGTCGAAACTAGCATCAGCTTCATGGTATCAAGAATCTTCAATTGTTAAGAATGAATATAGAAGACTTGCACGAAAAGTTGAAAACCTTTTTATTATTGCTAGAAATGAAAAATTACAATCTCAAGCTAATGAAAAAAAATGAAAAAACAAAAAATCTTGATGAACAACATAAATTCTCCACGAACTCTGCCCCTGCAAACTCTACCCTTGTAGTTTCCGATTCTAGTAATTGTGAAACAGAACAAATAACAATATCAAATACATCATTGGAACAATTCACTAACGATAACATTAACTCATGTTTGTATGGTACTACATTTGTACCATATGCAACATTAAACAATTCACCATATTCCCAACCAAATTTATTTTTTTCGTATTCTCCGTATCAAGATAACGGATATATGCCAAGCTATGACGATAGCATGTATTTTTTCAGAATTTTCGGTTGCACTGCCAACATCTATTCAATATACCTCATTTGATAATACAATTGAATTATATCCAACGTATTCTCAACAAAATATATATAGGCAAGATCAAAAGAATTTTGATAATATTAACGTTAATTCTTACCCAAATACTACAGATTTCGCCTCAACACCTCGATTTTTTTCTGTTGAGGAATCTTTAACAGGTGTAGGAAATAATAACCTTTTCGATACCAATTATTATTATCCTACGGAATTCTATGGATTATAAATGACGCATCAATCGTTTCTTATTACTTTTTATTGACAAATTTGAAATTCGACATGTATAACTTTTTTAATTCGTTATTTACTAAATATTTATAAATTAAAATATATGAATTTTTCAAGAATTTTCGTACGTATTTATTTTTTATTTTACAATTTATGACATAAGTACATAAGATATATATATCTATATGATATATACTATATATATAATAGATAGAAATAATATACAAAAATGAATATATATATATATAAACAAGGAATATTTGTCCTATTAAGATTAAGAAAAAAATTTTTATGTTAAATATCCTAACAAAATAAAAAAAACCAATTATGCCACTTTTTTTTTTTTTTTCTTTAATAAATGTTCAAATAATTATATAAAACACATAAAGCTATTTATCATAAGTTTAATCATTAAATCATAAATTTAAACGTTATGAACTTATTCACATTAATTACAAATTTAAACGTTATGAACTTATTCACATTAATTACAAATTTAAACGTTATGACCATTCGCAAGTTTGATCATTAATTATTATACAAGTTTAGCTAAGTTCAACTAGCCATCCCATGTATATCGAGAGATTAAGTATATTTTTAATGAAGAGTCACATGATCACTTATACCAAAATGAAAAAAAAAATTTAAGAAATTAATAAAATGTCTGTTGCTCTTCTTTCTCTGAATATAAACTAAGATCAAAATTAATATCTTGTGTATTCATTGTGTTCATAAACTCGTAATAAGCTATTTGGTCATTCTCAATGTTGTAGAAGTTATTACCTTCACCAAAAAGATTATTTGGTTCAATAAAGTAACTACTATATTCAGACTCATGACTTATACCATCGTAAGGATAGCTTTCAAGTAATTTTGTACAAGGTGTAATAACTGGTTGTGGTGAATAAATACAATAATCCTTAAAAAAATCTTTATTAGGTATATCATTTACCGGTTTTACTGGTACTGTTGATTTTTGAGACTCATTAGAAGATTTCATAGATTTAACTCTCTTCGTGACTTTAGGTTTAGTTTTGGTTATAGGTGTTTCTGGTTGTAAATTAGCAGCTTTACAAGCAAGTTCTTTATAATATTTTCTAACTGTTTCAGGTTCATTTTTCCATGATTCTGAAATATATTTCGAAATTTCAGTCATAGGATATGCTCTTCCAATAACTTTTAATTCTTCAACATAAGCTTTTCTGTAAAAGAACCATCCATTTGCTGTTTTTGTTTTTGGTTTACCAGTTGTTTTTAAAAAAATACGTTCATCAAACTTTGGAGGAAATGGTAAGACTTCTAAAGGTTCAATTTTATTCACAATTCGTGCCCTCCTCCTTTGTAATTCACGTATTTTTGCATTATCTTTTTGATTAGGTGCCGAAGGATTTTCCTCATGTATAAAGAGCACTGATTGAAACATTATTGAATATTTATTTATATTAAAATTTAAGTATTAATATCCAATAATTTTTTGGACGAGATTTGTTGAAGTAAAAAAAAGGTGGTTTATTTATTGATTTTTTTTTTTTTTTTTACAATGCTCTCATGGAAATTTCTCATTAGGAAACCTAAACAATGCTACGTACTGTATTACACAAAATGATTGATTGATTTTATTATTTAAAAAAGGTAATTATTTAATCATATTTAACAAAGATCTTCTAATAGTTTGTCAGATGCACAGATATACTATACATTAATATTTCCTTAATATTATAACATTTCGGAGTAAAGTTCTCCGATAAAAAAAAAAAAAAATTATAAAATTCATTATTAAAACTTAAATTATTACATAAAAGCTTTTCTTTATAGTTTCTTATTAAGCTGAATTGGAATTAATTTTGGTAATTTATTTTTAATATTATTTACTATATTGACACTTTAAAGGCAAGAATACTATTAAATTACGGTAATTTAGCGATGTATGGATTTATAAGCGATTATGCGTGAATAAGTCTTTGTAGTCATATACAGTACTAAATAGCCTATATTTGCACGTAATAACATTCTTAAAAAAACATTAGTCTTTTCAGGAACGTTTGATCTTTTGTATTGATTCTATAAAAACAATTCTGGCGTGATTATTTGTGCTTCACACAGCCTACGTGAAAATTGTGATAAAAAAATTGTATTATATTGAAAAGGTAGGTATAATACACGTAATTATTATTGTTTTTTTTTTCAATTACAATAACATGTAGTACTTTATTATTTTTATTAATAACGATAAATATATATACTTTGTAGATTTATTATAAACATCCGATGGCATTCGGATAACCATGGATTATCCATAATCATTCTGAATTAGGCTCACTTAGATGAGGCTATGCTACTATGTGATTCTGCAAAGTCCATAATTAGGTAAATATTGAAACCTTTTAGCCTCATCTAGGGCTTACAAACATTTATCGGACATAAAGATCCGAACAAGTTAATTATGTAATTTTGAAAAAATCATAAGAAATAACTGAGTAAAAAGACTTAAGAAATTATATTAAAAAAAATTTTTTTTTTTTTTTAATAATATTCGGAGTCAATTAAATCACTACGTATCCGTCTGATCTGTGTTAATCGGGAAATTACGAAATTTTATACGTAAAAAAAAAAAAAATTACAATGTAAGCCAAGATTGGCAAAATTTTGTACACATTTAAATTGCGCCCCCTATATATTCTACGGATAAGTGTATCAATAACAAATAATAAATTTTGAATTCTTGAACTACTGATGATACGTAGTTCTTCGAAACTAATAAATCATAATTTGATGCTCAAGTTGCTCAGCGTATTATTGTGAAAGGTTAACTATATCTTCAATGCAGATCAACTCTTAAAATCTATAGATATAAAATTTCCTTAATTAGATTTATTAATTACACGTTAGTAGCATTCATAAAAAATGGCCTGACGTTAATGAATGATTTTCAACATATTTACATCTTGGAAAATCCTTAGAATGTTAGCAATTATCATCAATAAAATCATTTCGAAAACATAAATACAGCATTTTTTAATTTATCTTTAAAGCCAGGTTATGCTGTATTACAAGGCACTACAGTTTATTATTGTTCCTATCTTAAATATGAAAATTTAAAATTTTTGGGGCATTTTTAAAATTAATTTAGGATTTAGGGATTATAGTTTTTAATAAATGGATGTATTTAAATATTATTAAATTGTCCTTTATTTAAAAAACATTAAATAAATTCCTTTTTATATTAAAAAAAATAATAATAATTTCCCTATAATGTATAAAAGAATATAAATATTTGAGACCCAGAAAATGCATGGCTAATGTTTAAAATCCAAATTGATTTATGTTTTCAAAAAGCTTGCACAAAAGTGTCTAGACTTTTAGGCCAGGCACTAATTCATGAACACCAATTACCATATTTACAAGATTAATGGGAAAATTTGTGTTATCCTATTTTCCATAAAACGTAACATTTACTTATAATTGCCGATTTCCATTTTTAAATTTGATAATGAAATCAAAATCTAGGTTATATATTCAGTAATTTGTAATACGTACTCATAACTTTCATTGATAGTGATCGAATTAAATCTGTTTTTAGAATTAGAATTAGTTTTTAGTATCTTGAGATCTTATCAGTTATGTAACCTAAATAGATAACATATACTGTACGTAAGAGGAATAATTTTTTTTTTTTTTTTTTTTTTGATATACAATTAGATTTAAGGAAAAATTCTTTTAATATTTTTTATTTTATTCTGCAGTACATTATCACACTGAATTTGTACGTACGATACGTAATACCACTCTAGATATCGTTGATTATGGACAAATAAATCCCTACATGCATAAAAACAAAGATCATGGGATATCTCGTATCTATTACTATTGTAATAATTACCCACGCGATAATATTGTAACATTCCATAGGAATATTCTCGGTCACAACGTAATCACGTGAAAATTTTAACGAAGATAGTGTTGTTAAAAGCTTGTTAAAAGCTTGTCAGAACCCAGTTCTTGAATCAACTTTACATGAATTCTTTGGAAGCTTATTTCGAACATCAATATATCAATGTTTTATTGAGGGATCTGTATCGGACAGTTTTCACATGAAATGTAAAATATAAATTTGTCAATATGATATAAAAAATTTTCAAAAATTCTTTTCATAAGAGCTTAGCTCATGTATTGTCAAAAGGTCACGGATGATCCTCAATTGTGATTGGCTAATATCAATTTACAAAAAAAAAATATATATATATCGTTATCGATATCGATATGCTAAAATTTTACTAAGTACAGGGAACATTGCACGAAGCACGTGTGCTATCGGAGGTTCGAACATGATCGAGCATCACGGAAAGCGTGATGCTAGATCGGAGTCGCTCTAACATAACCAAATTGCTGAGTCATTATAAATCGTAATAATATACGTTCAAATAGAGCATAATGAAGTAATTGCATTGTAACAAGCGATATAAATATGTAAAGAAAAAGAAAGCTAGCTATGCTTTTTCACTTGTATTTCTTTAATAAAGAAAAACCCAAAGTTGCTTAGTTTCCATATATTAAATCGTTCCAAACCTATCTATTCTTAATAGATACGGTTACATTTGGTAGCAGCGGAAATAAAAGTCTACAAACATCGTATACAAAAAATAATAATAATTATTATTATTATTATTGAGAAAATCATTATTAAAGTTTAAAAAAAATTTACAAATTTTTTGTTATATATTATTAGTAATTACTAATATTTACTCTTAAATTATCTAGTTTAACAGGCAGATTTGGCTACTAAATTTTTTTTTAAATTTTCAAATTTTGTTCTGATCTATTTTTATCAAGATAATTTCTTAAAGTCGCCGGTGGTGATCATCACCGGCGTGTAATTAGTTAATAATTATAAAACAAAAAAAAGATTCCATTTCGTTTACTTTAGGGTTAGGGCGAGGCCTAGGATTTTAGTAGGGTGTTACATGTATACAAAATTTAGCAGGAATTTTTTTTGTTAGAACGTCGAAGGTGGTTTCATAGGTGAATTCTTGAGATATTAGTATTTTTTTTAAAAAAAGTCTTTGATTTCGTTACACGAATTGATTTGACACGTTACACCTGATCCTGCAAATTTATTGGCTAATTACATACCGGTGATGATCACCGCCGGTTATAGTTATCAAATAAATATCATTGGAATTTATACTCACATACTGTAATCGATTGGAGTATTGATTAATTCATTATATTTAATAAATAAATATCATTGAAATTTATACTCACACCCTGTAATCGATTGGAGTATTGATTAATCCATTATAAAATTATAATTTAATAAATAAATATCATTGAAATTTATACTCACATCCTGGAATTTATGTAATCGATTGGAATATTGATTAATTCATTATAAAATTATAATTTAATAAAAAATATCATTGAAATTTATACTCACATACTGTAATTTATGTAATCGATTGGAGTATTGATTAATTCATTATAAAATT